AGAACAAGCTCCCGACGGCGGTCACGATCAAAGAGCGCATCGTCGTGTTGAACGTGAACTCGAACCGGAAGAGCGTGTCGCACGGCTTCTTGGCGGGCGTGTTCGGCACGCTCGATCGCTATGGCGTCGTTGTCGACCTCATCAGCACGAGCGAGGTGTACGTTAGTATGGCCATCGAGGACAGCCTTGACAAGAAGCTCCTCGATCGTGTCGTACGCGAGCTCAAGAAGAGCGGGACAGTCAGTGAACATTGCACAGTGGCTCGTGTACGTACTGATATCGCATCGCTAAAGGTCACTGTGAGCAAAGACATGGCCATCCTGTCTCTGGTCGGGAAGAGGATGCGGAATATGGTCGGCATCGCGGGGCGCATGTTCACGACCTTGGGTGACGGGAAGGTGAACATCGAGATGATTAGCCAGGGCGCGAACGAGATCAACATCTCATGTGTCATCGACGGACGAGAAGCGGTCAAGGCGCTCAACCTCATCCACCAAAGCTGTCTGCAGATCAGGCCAGACGGAGCCAGGGGCCGCAGTGAGTGACAGCTCACCGCTGTGCTTCATGCAGGCCTGAAATGCTGATCTTGGCATCTTGACAGTGGGCCCATGGCTATTTTAAAATTGTGTCCTGATAAGACGCAGTCTGTTGTAAGCGGTGTACTCATTAGCTGTAGCTGTAGATTTGTATCCTTTGTCGCCCGTCCAACCGCGCCAAAATCAAAATCGGACCGCGATCCAACTCGTGTCCTATGTTTGATGTACATACCTTCTCGTCCTCTATCCGTGTGCGCCTACGCTTTGAAAACCGGCAGTCGATTGATTATAGGCACCATCAGTAGGTGTCATTTTGTTTGTGCCTAGTGCCTGCTGATGCCACTATAGACTCACCCGACAACTTCGTGTCGTCGCCAGGCCTTGAGAAAGTTGCAGGGAGCGGCATGATTATGAACGTGTCGAGAGGTTGACCAGAACCTCTTACCACAGGCCGCCAGGAACCACTGCACTCCGGCAGGGGTAATCTACGGTGGCTTTTAGGCCTCTCAGGCAGTCACCTCGAACACCGTTCTACGTACAAATGCTATTTGTAGCATTCAGCCGCAGTTCCGGAATCAAACCTTCTCGATATGAGGTCCACGGGCAGCTCCCTTGGTCCAGTCATATTGCAACTCGCATCCCCCGTTCATTTGGTCGCGAGGACTCGAGGTACAGCGTAGAGATTCTTTGACATAACTTAGTCCTCACACCTTCGCCTTCGCAGGCACTTCGCTCCTATCTCTCCTCCATTTCACGAGTTACGGTGAACTCATATTCTGCGCAGGGCCATCACGCACGCACGTTTGTCCATACAGAGGTGTGCGTTTCGCGAGTAGATATCATCTTCTCCAGAGTTCGTATCCTCAGTTCCTGGGAGAGATGAGTTGGCTCCAATCCCTGTCATGGCCAGGAAAGGGGGCGCATATAGAACGGATTCGCCATAGGCCTCTCTTGTACGTCCGTCTGATACTCGCTCTTGTCTCCTCGTATCATGGGCAAACTACAGGATCCAGTAGATCCCGCTGATGAAGATGTAGTCGCGGTTCTACCATCGTCACCGGATGCTACCCCAGTCACTCGATCTACAAGAAGACCTTCAAACAGAAAGATTACGCTCAGCGCGTATATGGCCATTGCTGCGTCGGCAGCTGGATTGATATCAGATGGCTGTGAGTGCTGCATCTCCTAGATTGTCGAGTTCAACTTGTCGAGAACAAATCCAGATCATAATAACCTTATGACCATGACGAATGTAAGTACCCTCCATGAGCACCAGCCCCAGACGAGTGAATATCGCCGCAGGTCGTGTTCAAGAAACTGTACCCAACTGAGTATACGTCCGACGTCTCCACACGTGTCTCCAATGCACTCTTAGTTGGTAAATGCTATGCGTCATCTGTCCGCCTATCGATCTCACCTCAGTCCGTAACAGGGGAGGTCATCGGGCAGATCATCGTAGGAATTCTATGCGACAGAGTGGGGCGGAAGGCCGGTCTTGTTATGACAACCCTACTGATTATCATTGGCGCTGTTTTATGCACCGTCGCGCGCGGGGCCCACGGAAGTGTACAAGGGCTTTTCTGGTTCATGACTGTCGCTAGGGGTATCGTTGGTGTTGTGAGTTCTTTCGCTTACTCCTTCGGAGATTGCTCTTATCCAGGCGAACGCTAGGGAGCCGGCGGAGAGTACCCCGCATCTTCAACAAGCGCAAGTGAAGGAGCAAATGAAGTGATTGCACACCAGAGAGGCGCTGGTTCGTTCTGTGACATACGCGGAGTCACAATTTCAGAAGCGCTTACTCAATTGTAGTATTCATCATGGTGACCGACTTTCCCTTGGCGGTATGCTTTTCATTACTATGAGCGAGCATCCGAACAATACTGACGTTGACAGGTCGGAGGCCCGCTCGTGGTGTCGATCTTCTTGATCGTTTTGTCGGCCGCTGGCGAGAGTCATCTAAGCACTGTCTGGAGAGTATGCTTTGGTATTGGTATAATACTCCCGCTGGCAGTGTTCTACTTCCGCATGCGGATGATTACCTCGAAATTGTGAGTCCACCGGCATCTACCAAACGTGAACTCTGACAGTATATTTAAGATATCGAGAAGGCGCCATCAAGCGTACGTCTGTCAGATCTCTCCCCCACCCAGTACACTGGATATTAAGCCGAACGTTAGGTCGCGTACCCTACCGGCTCGCTCTCAGGAGATATTGGAAATCTCTAATCGGCACAGCAGGCACCTGGTTCGTCATTATTTCCTGCTGCGAGATTGTAACTAACACTTGGCGAAAATCAGGTTCTTGTATGACTTTGTGAGTGATATACGCTGTCGACGCACGCCCTACGCTCACGCTGGTCGGAAGATCGACTATCCAAATGGCATATTTTCTGCCACTATTATTGCGAACGTCATAAAGGACGGGGATATCAAGAAAACCGCCGAATGGCAGTTGCTCTTAGGTGCCATCGCTCTTCCAGGTTTGTCATTTGTCTTTCCCCCTCTTCTTGTTCCCTCTTATCTACTTCGGCACAAAGGTGTGGTAGTGGGCGCATTCCTATGCAATCCTCTTGGACGCCGTTACACGGTACGTCATCCATCCACCGATAGGCATGAAGTGCTCAGCTGCACACAAACTAGATGATGCTTGGGTTCAGCGGATATGTTATATTCGGTACGTCCATGTGCTCATGAGAGATATACCACTGAATTACTGGGAATAGGCCTTATCATAGGTTGTGCCTATGACCGGGTAACCAGCATCGTGTCTGCGCTCGTCATCCTGTAAGCCCCATGGAACTACCTCTTGTTGTTAATATAACCTAGGGTCCCAGCTACGGGTTAATGATTTTCATGAGCAATTTGGTAGGTGCATGTCAGTGCTGTCAAGAGCTCGATCAAGTGACACAGTGACAACGTACAGGGTCCTGGAAATATCACTCTTCTTGCGGCTGCTGAGTACGTCGTATGTGAATAAGCATAGTGCCCTATCTTCACATCACACACATAGATCATACCCAACTGCTATCCGGTAAGCGATATTTGCTAGTAGTAGGTGGATTCCATACAGAAGTACCCATCCCCCAGAGGCACCTTTTTCGGAATCTCAGCGGCAATGGGAAAAGTAGGGGCGGCAGTCGGCACTCAGATCTTCATACCCATTCAGAACAGTCTCGGAAAGAGGTGAATACCGCAACGCCCAAACGTATGCCATCAGGCCTGACCCCTTTGGATCCAGGTGGACGTTCATAATTGCTGCGATCTTCGGAGCTGTGGGCATGCTCCTCACCTATGTCTTTGTTCCCGACATGACGGGTGTGGATCTCACCGTCGAGGACGAGAAGTTCTTCAGCTACTTAGCCGAGAATGGTTGGGAAGGAGATATCGGTGAAGAGGATACGGATTCACTTCCTATTGAGGACATAGACGGCAGTAGCATAAAGGATGTCACGCTGTAGCCATAGAATCTTGTCTCAACGACACCTTTGAGTGCCCCTCATTTCCTCTCTTCTGTCAGCTGACGCCCCATCAACTATATGCAGTTGATATCTAGTCTAGGTACTCATCCATCCTCTTTTGTTCTTCCTTGGATGATGGCAAGTAGGTCGTATATGGAGCATCTCGGGAATGGGATCTGTTGTAGAACGGCCCACTGGTTGCATCCACCTTTGAAGTACGTACGGTAGGTTCCTTCCCAGGGTCGATAGTTGCCCATATGGAGGTGTCCTTCCCCCCATCAGTAGTCAGTCTCAACTTCATGGGGCTATCCCGTAGGTGGCTATAGGCTAGCCACATCTTAGGACAGGAGCTGCCACAAAACATTTCGCATCCTTACAGGGAAACGAAATCAATCTCAGTGATAATCCTTTGACGGAGAGCACCGTTCTACGCGGATTGTTCTCCATACGTACGTATGCAAACACCTCCGAAGGTTGCGTCACGGGCTCAGTGGCCCACTCTGCCAGTGTGAGAACAAACGAAACTCGGTACGGCGAGCGCGAGTGTCCCACTGGCAGGCGCGAATGATGCCCGAAGGGCAATCGCGCGAGGTATAGTATGTACATCAAAACATCCTGTATATATCGGCCAAACTCTAGGGCCTAACCCCCTAAAAAGGTCATATTTAGGGCCTGCCTGCGGAAGCTGTAGTACAGTCCTGGCGACTCGGACCATGGGCCGAATAACGTTGTTTGTGTTTGTTAGGATCGCAAGGCGTTGGACAACAAATACAAGCAACGACCCCACTACGCCAACTTCAATCCAATCATCACTGTTACGATCCCCCAGCTGCGCTGCTGCAGTCTCGCTGGACACAAGTTAACAAGAGCATTACTAGGTACTTCATCTTAAGTCTCCGTTCCAGATCGGAACGAGCCGGCGAACGTCTTTCATACGTTATGATTCATTTCCAAACAACCGACGGAGTGTCATTGCACTGGGCCTGATCTACATGAAGAAAAATATCGGGCCTTGCCGGGAATTGAACCCGGGACCTCCTCCAATCACGTAATGCCACATTAGCTAGGAACACCACCCTAAGAAGGAATCATACGACTAGACCACAAGGCCAGTGATAAGTGTTTGTGACTTTGCATTCTCAGTCTACCCGGTAGAGCACTGGCACGAGGTCCAAATATCCTTGATTGGGTACACCATCCGAGTCGCTGCGTACCGAAACTTGCACTGAAGATGATCGCCTGCAATGATTCACTCGAGCTCTCCTGTATTGGCGGCAAACCCACCGGACGGCATTATAGCAGCACGATTGAAGTGGTAACACCTCATCCTCATGAAATCATACACTGCTCATTGATCCTCACACGTCCTCGACGTCCTCCCCATCCTTGTCTTCCATTCGCACCTTCCGTTTGCGACCTGGCATTTCCTTCCCAGCGCCATATCCAACGCCGGCCTTCTTCCGTAGCTCGTCGATATCCGCCGCACCGTCCTCGGCCCACTCCAGCACCAGATGGCGCCCAAGCAAGTGTGTATGCCGCAGCGCAGCGTACGCACGAGCGGCCTCGTGCGGCGACACGAACTCGAGGAAGGCGAACCCGCGCGTCCGTTTGTCGAACTTGCGCGGCAGGCGCACGGACTTGAGCTGCGCATGCGAGCCGAAGAGCTGCTGGAGGTCCTTCTTCGTCGCCTCAAACGGCAAGTTCTTCACGATCATCTTCGAGCCCTTCGGCCTGCCCTTCGCCTCCTCGCCCTCCGTCTCGTCCGCGCCCCGCCCCGCCCACTTCACCGTCAGCACGTGCCCGTCGAGCACGAAGCCTTCGAGGCTCTTCAGCCCGCGCTTCGCCTCGTCCTTCGTCTTGAACCCGACAAAGCCGTAGCCCATGCTTAACCGCACATTCGGGCGCGCCGGGTCGACCTTCGCCTGCACGCGAGCAAACGCGAACCCGGGCAGGTGGCGCAGCGCCGTAACGAGGCCTTCTGTGGTCGTACTGAACGCAAGGTTCTTGGCGAAGAGGGTAGTCCCCGCGGAGAGCGGTGGCTCCGCCGCGGCCGCATCCGAGGCGTCCACGACAGCGTCAATGCTAACTGGAGCCGCAACGGGTTTGACCGCCGCAGCGACGACGGGTTCGGAGGCGCCATCCGTAGGTGCGCCCTCGGCGAACATCCCAAGGGGCGCCTTCTCGAGATACATGATCGAGTTCCCGAGCCTACGATAAGCAAGCGCGCGGAAAGCCGTCTTTGCGTCCGCAGCGTGTTCGTACTCGACGACGGCCAGTGTTCCCGCCGGAGGAACCAAGACACGTCTCAGCTCCCCATGAGAGCCAAACATGGTGCGGAGTGTCTCGGCGGACGTGCCATAGGGGATATTTTTGACCAGAATGACTGTATCGGAACGCTGTGCTCGTGTGGAGGCGAGGGATTCCAGAACGACACCGTGTTGCTCGAGGAACGACTTCGTCTCATTGATGATATGCGTCTCCGCGAGCGCGAGCTTCACCGCCGCATTGTCCGATTCGGGGTTGAGTATCTCAGACTTCGGTACGTTCATCCGGTCCGCGATGGACGACGCCACTGCATCCGCCTGCAGAAACACGTCCGGCCGTGAGATCGAAAGGACAACAAAATATATTGTGTATACAGTACGTACATTCATGTACAACATCGCCCAATTGAAGTCCCGCCCTGCTCCTGCCTTCCGCTTCACCTCACGCTCTCCCTTCACTGACTTCTTTCTCCCACCCTCTTCCACCTCCACTTTAACCTTCCGGTCCACTGCGGGCAGTATGTGCAGCAGGCGCCCTTGGAACGACTTCTTGTCTAGTGCTTCATACGCGGCGAGAGCCTTAGCCGGCTCTGCAAAAGTAACGTATGCGAGTCCCTTCGACTGTTTCGTCGTGGGGTCGAGAGGGACGTGAACCTGGAAGAATGGATTAGCACACGTCAAAGAGCGCACAAAGTCAGAAGGAGGGAAAGCGTTTCAGAACATTATACTATCAATTTCCCAGTTAAATCAACATGCTCGCGAGCGAGTCTGTTGTCCCTAACTATACTGTCATCCGAGAAGGTCCACCCCTGCAACCAGAGGGTGGCCGTAAGACTGAATACAATGCTTACCTGGGACACGGTTCCGTGGGGCTCGAAAAGCTCTCGCAACTCGTCTTCCGTACACGAGAATGCGAGGTTCCTGAGGAACAACCGGGACGTTTGCAGGATCGTCGACTTTACAGGGTCTGGCGGCGGCGGCGGCTCTTCCTCAGACTAGACAGAATGAGCCATCGCATCTCGAGGTGAATGAAGCGACTCACTTCTTCGCTACTACCCTTCTCTGCTCCCCCTTCTTCATCATCTGACTGCTCAAACGCCCTCTCTGTTGCGGCGGTTGGCTCATCGAGGACGGCCCTCGTCCGCTGCTTGAACCAGTCCATGTCCGATACCGCCGCAGATGCGTCCAGCTGCGCGTCGTCTGCGCCAGTGTCGCCATCGTCACCCTCCGTGACGAATTCCGCCTTCTTCTCTTCTCTTCTCTTACTCTTCTTGTCCATTACTACCTCAGCATCTAAATTGCCATGGGCTGGCTGCGAAAGCATATCATTGTCGGCCCACGCGGGGCCCTTCTTCGTGCGCGGCTTCATGACCTGCAAGAACTCCTCGAAATGAGAGTCCTTCCCGGCCTTCAGGCCCTCAGCAGCGCCCTTAGCCCCCGTCCTGCCAGCCTTCCCCCGCGCAGCCTCTTCCGCCGACGCCGGCGCGGGGCCGAGGCGGGGGCGTTTGTTCGGACGGGGCGGCGGCGGTGGCTCCCTCGCCCCCTGCCAACATCAGCCAACACGCACAACGACCGCCAGCCGCAGCAAGAGCGGCGAGGAGAGACTCACATCGACGACGTCCACGCTGATGCGCGACGAGTCTACGAACGTCCTGTGGAACCACGCGCGCGCGCGCGCGGCCTCCGCGGGCGTCTTGTACCCGACGAACCCGAAGCGGCGCGACGCCCCGTCCGCGCCGAGGACGAGCTTCACGTCCGTGAGCGCGCCGCCGGGGCCGTCCGCGCCCTCGAAGTGCTTTCGCAGGCGGTCCTGCGTGAGATATGGGGGCAGGTTCTTGACAATGAGGCGCGACATCGTCTCGGAGGGTGCATGCGGTGAGGGGGGAGGAGCGAGGAGGGACGAAAAGGAGGAGGAGGAGGAGGAGGATGAAGTGAGAGCGACGAGAAAAGCTCTGAAAAACTCAAATATAGGGCGGCGTTCGCCGAGCGCCCAGTGGCTGAGCGCTTACGCGAGCTCGCTCGACTGAGCCTGCACGCCGCACGCTCATCGAGACCCCCCCCCTCCTTCGCGCCTCAAGACCAGCAACTGTACTGTCGGACACCTCTCTGAGCACGCGCAACCAAACAAAGGAAAAAAAAAGATGTCGACCGCAGAGGGCAAGCAGCCCGAAACGCAGCAGAAGAACCCGCGCGGGATCCCCCAAGCGCCCTTCATCGTGAGTCTGCCGGGCCCCCACATACTGCTGCGAGTCCGCGCGACCGCCGATCCTGAAGCTGAGGGCCCGTCCGCAGGCGGACGTCGAGGAGTACCTGGGCCCGACCAAGGACGTGGAGACGGCGTTGAAGGAGATCCAGACCGCCCTCGCGTGAGCGCCCCCCGCCCCTCCCGCTGCCCCTCCGCGATCGCGCCTCTGACTAGAGCACGCGCACGCACGCACGCACGCACAGAAAATACCGCTACATGGACCAGAACCTCGCGCAGCGGCGGCGGGGCCTCGCGGACAAGATCCCGGACATCCGGAAGACGCTGGCGATGGTCGCGTTCCTGCAGGCGAGGCGAGTGAGTGAGTTCGTCCGCCCCGCCCGCGCGACGGGGGTGCGTGCGTTTGTGCTGACTGGCTGACGGGGGTGGGCCCGCAGGAGGGCGCGGGCGGCGCGTCGGAGCCGGATTCGGAGGAAGGCGGGCTGGACGACGACGACGACGGTGGAGACGCCACGGAGGGTCGGAAGAAGCCGCTGCGGACGACGTTCGAGCTGAACGACACCCTGTACGCCGAAGCGGAAGTCGAAGACACCGACACGGTGTACCTCTGGCTCGGGGTGTGTGTTTCCGCCTTCTCTTCTCTTCTCCTGCCCCCGCTCACCACCTGTCTTATACACCCCGCGCGCCAGGCGAACGTCATGCTCTCGTACAAGCTGCCGGCGGCCATCGCGCTGCTCCGCTCGAAACTCGCGGCCGCGGAGGCGTCGCTGCAGACGGTCGTCGAGGACCTCGAGTTCCTCCGCGAGCAGATCACGGTCATGGAGGTGAACACCGCGCGGGTGTTCAACTGGGACGTGAAGCGGAGGCGGGAGCTGCGAGAGAAGGGGGCGTTGGAGGGCGGAAAAGACTGAGAAGCCCGTGTGTATGCTATCCGATGATGATGCTCCTGGTACTCGACTCCGATGCTCGACGTATATGCATTCCACATTTCCTGCGCGTCCAGTGCCTCCGTTCGGCCGCACCTCCTACCAGACTGGCGCCATAATTAAAATTCACGGGAACCAACGTTCCGTGGTTTGGGTCTACCGGCGAGCTGGTGTTTCGCTGAAGCCTTCCCCTCAGGCTGTGATGCGACCACATTCCTCCCGCGTTTGTCATGCTCACCGCGCGTACCCCACAGCCCAAGACGACTGTCTGTAGATTGAGATCTGCGTCGCATCATCGGGCGACAAGTGGACAAGTCGGCGTCTCTCGAGGCAGTCGCGCGACGTCAGCGTGCTCTGGGCCAACAGGTGATCCACCGTACAGCTGTCTGCCTGCAAGCCACGTTCAGCGCTCAGCCCGAGGTGCGCTAACGCGATTATCTCCCTGGACGACTTGCAGCAACCGCCCAGCGAGCGCTGCGAACGCACCCGCTGGTCAGGTTCTGAGCGAGCGCAAGTGCATGGCCGAAGCCGAGCTTATTTTATTTCAACTTCGATTGTATTGTGGGCAGTGGGCCGCGTTCTCGCCGTCTCAAGCCTTATCCGCCCTCCGAGCTCGCCTTCGTTTCTGCACAGGTGGTATTGACGTACATGCCTGCTCTTCGGCCTTGGAGTCCGTTACGGCAGGGTCGGAATGCTGCCGTGTTCAGGGTCTGTGTCC